ATCTTGTTGTAAGGATTTTGTAGTAGTTCATCTGTTAATAAATACAAGAAGCAACTACATGCACACTTACCAGATATTTTGAGAAGATGGATAGTATATCCACAAGTGGAATTACTCAAGGCCTAAACATCTTCATTTCTCTCTCCCTCCTCTCTCTCTCTTTCTCTCTCTTTCTCTCACTCTCACTCTGGCTCTTGCTCTCACTCTCGCTCTGTGTGTTGAATTTACATGTTCCATTGTTTGGCCCTATATTAGTTTCATAAGACCATTGTAACAAAGCACTGATAGTTGCACAGCTTAAACAACAAAAGTTGATTTATTTAGTTCTGTTATCTAGATCTACCTAGATTTGAGACTAGGTATTAGTAAGGTTGATTCCTGATCAGGGCTGTAAGGGAGGAAGAGGGTACTCTTTCAGGGCTCTCTGTTTTGTAGATGGCTAAATTCTTGTGCTTCTTCCGTCTGGAGGCAAACTCTTGTCTCTAAATTTTTGTTTTTTGTTTTGCTTTGTCAGTTGTGGGACAAACTCTGGGCCCGGGTGCTGTCCCTGAACTCTTCAGCTCAAGGCTAGCATTCTACCACTTAAGTCACGGCACCATTTCTGGTTTTCTGGTGATTAATTGAAGATAAGAGTCTCACGGACTTCCTGACTGGGCTGGCTTTGAACCATGATCCTCAGGTCTCAGCCTCCTGAGTAGCTAGGATTACAGGTGTGAGCCACTGACACCTGGCTAAAATTTCTGCTTTTTATAGGAACTTCAGCCTTGTTGGATTAGAGCCTACTTAATTACTGTAGTTTAAGCCTTCATTATTTCTACAGCAGAGTCAAACTTTGAGACATTAGGTGTTAGGATAACTTTTCTTTTTGGTGAGAGAAAGGGAAAACAATCCAACTTATAACAGTTCCTCTTCAGGCTTCATCATCCTTACTGTTTCTCATGTTTCCCTCTTTTCACCATCTGCAACTTTGCTTAAATGTGTGAACACTTCTTAGTATGTATATTTCAAGTGCCTTAGTTTCTTTTTTATATTTTCTTTTGTTATATCTTTTTTTTATATTTTTTATACCTTTTTGTGCAACACTAGAAACTTCTTTCTGATCTAATTGTCCAATTCACTGTTTCTCCAGCTCAGTGTGAGAATAGGTCCGTCTACTAAGTTTTAAATTTTCTATGTTGTATGTATTGTTGCTTTTCCATTTCTAGAAGTTTGCTTTTTTCTCACAAAAATATTAGGTAATATTTAGCTTCTATTTCCCCTAATACATTTTAGTTTATCTTTTCTTTATGTAAAATCATTTTGTAGCCTGAATCTGGTAACTAAAATACATGAAGTCTTTTCAGGTATGGACCTAGTCTTCTTTCTTTCTATTGATTTCTATTTAGGGTTCTTTTCCCTGTTGGCTTACATATTATAAACTACTAACTTTATTAGGAAAACTATGACTTATTTGGAGCCTAGAAAGAAGAGTATATTCCTCTCCAAAGGGGTTATATACATGTTTTCACTTAATACCTAAGGGTCTCACTTAACTAAATTCATAGATTGACATTTTGGGGACCCTTTGGGCATATGAGCTTTGGGGACATATTTATACAAGGCCAATTTTGTAGTAATAACTCCTTAGGAGTCTTCTCACTTGTAATTTTAACAACAAACCATCTTTCTTTGAAGTGCTTATGCTACTCTTCTGATTAATCTGGGGGTGTAACCTTTGGGGAAAAGAGTTCACAATAGAGTCCCCATACTGGGCAGGCAGAGAAATTTCTTTCCTATATTTAAATTCACCAAGGCTTGAAGCACGAAAGAAGGTTCAGCAAATTCCTCAGGACAAAACCAGCTTTACTGCTTGCACTGGGGATCCCACAGTCATCAATGTTTGGGCCTGATTATTTGTTTATAACATGCTGATTTAAAAAAAAAAGAAATTCCAAATTTAGATGTGCTTCAATTTATATAATTTTTATATAATTTCTCATTTTTTATTCTTTTAAGAAGCTTAAAAAATATTTTCATTCAGCATTACTTGTTTTTAGCAAGAGGGCCTAATCAGCCTTGTAACTGGGGTCCATATCATATTCACCGCTGTTGTCCTCAGCATTCAGAATGATGCTGATCCATGCATGAGTTTTATTAGCGTTGGGTAGTTGGTGAATAAACAGTAACTGCTCTTCCACTCTTCCATCTCTTTTTCTATCGTCTTGACATATCCTCTATTTCTGTCCCCTAACTAAAACTTCTACATTTTTGTACATACCTTCCCTCCATTTACCTTCCCAGAGTTGTTCCTCTGAGTCCACCGTATCCCTCATTACCTCTCTTATAGAAACGTTCTTGTTTTTCCCAAACCCATAATTTGGTTTTCCATAGCTTGGGATCGGTACTATTCTTTAAAATGGCATCTCAATTACTCACTATTATGCTGCCTTCATCCATAATCTGCTGGTGTAGGGAACTCAGAAGCTAAGCTGTGAGACCTGGAAAAGGTTTGAGAGATAGGAACTCTGCCTCCACAGTACTTGGAATGCTGAGAACTGGCCATGTGAGGGTTAAAACAGACAGCTGTCTAGAGAGTTAGAGGCTGGAATGCTGCTCCCTTCCTTTCCTGCTGGAAGTGCTGAGAGCTGGAGCTTGCAAGGTGGATAAAGTGGAATACATATTTGGATTTTGCCTAGTTGCAGTCTTCACTGTCAAAACAATAAGGGAGCCGATTATTCTCAAAAAACTATCTCTGTGAGTGAAATAATGCAATAGATTTTTGTTTTCTGTATGTACCAGTGGTAACCGTCCCTGTTCTAAACCTGATAAATACGCTGGGCTTACAGGAACTTGGGGTCCAAGAGCTGGTAAGTCTTGAGTTCCTTGGTGCCTGCTATCTCTCTCCCTCTCCCTGCCACACATCTGTTTTTCTCTATTTTTAAGCTCCCATTATACTGCCTCAGGTTGCAGTTACCAACAGCTGGTCAGTTGATGCTTATACTATCTTCTTACAACATATGTCTTCTGACTTTGTTACTGTCATATGTGGAACTCCAGCCCTACCTACATGTTTGTTGAGAGTAGTTTGTTCACAAACACAAGAACCACTTCACTTCATCCTCTCACGTAGTGCAACATTCACTGCCATATAGGTCTTAAAAACACACATTGCACAGCTCAAGTCTCAGATTCGTTCCTTATTAATGTGTGACACTGGAAAGCTACCGAATGCTTCAGTACCTCAGCTTCCATAAAGTGGAAATAATAATACCTTACAATGCCACCTGTCACATAGCAAATGTTCAATACATTTTAGCTATTTTCAATACTGTGTTTTAACTCTGAAAGCTTATGATTCATACATAACTCAAGCTTTAATACCAATGAAAAATTTATTTGTTCATCTCTATGAAATTCCAAATCCTATTGTCTACAATGTTTTTGGTTTTGTGTTTTGAGTTTTACTTCAGTTCTTCTCTAGATCTAGCTCTTCATTTCTACCAGAGCATTTTGTTTCCTTTTAGTTTTTGCTAGCACTCTGGGCCTCAAGCTTTCACTTGGCTTTTTTGCCCATGGCTGGTACTCTACCACTAGAGACATGCCTCTACTTCTGACTTTTTCTTGTGAGTGTTCTGGGGCTTGAACTTAGGGCCTGGGCACTGTCTCTGTCTCTGAGCTTTAGTAGACTTGAGCCACAGCTCCACTTCTGGCTTTTTGATAGTTTTTATTAGAGATAACAGTCTCACAGTCTTCCTGACCAGGCTGGGTTAGAACTGTGATCCTCATATCTCAGCCTCCTGAGTTGCTAGGATTAGAAGTGTGAGCCACCGGCATGTAGTATATTTCTGGCTTTTTGATGGTTAGTTGGAAATAACAATCTCAGATTTGTCTAAACCATGATTCTCAGGTCTTAGCCTCCTGAGTAGCTAGGCTCATAGGCATAAGCCAGCTGCATCCAGCTTAAACTAATGCACTTTATCTTCAGAAATTGAATGCATTTAGAAATGAATATTTCAAAATATCTCTATAAGCTCTTCTCTCTGTAGTAGCAATGCCTACCAATTCTTATATTATCTGTCTTAACTTATACCCATTCTGTTTTTTCATTGATCTTCAACACCTTGCTCTAACAGAAAATTCTTCTAGTCTCTAAACCTCAACAAGTCTTACTGATCCTAAAATAAATTAGTATGTCTTTTTCATATCTACTTTCCTCCTATGCTACCATCCTGTCTGTCCTAATCTTGAAAAAGCAACTTGTGTTTTCCACTCCCATTTCCTTAAACAAGCATTGCTTGCTTCCAGAAAACTGGTTTTTAAAACTTCCCTTCCAAAGCTTACTATTCAAAACTAAAACAGCCTCTCTTCAAAAACTTTTCTTAAAACTCCTTGTAGCAATGAGTACATTGATCATTCATTTGTAACTATCCTCCTTTGTTCTTTTACAAATCATTCTGTATTTCTTCTGGGAAGTGGACAAAAGACAATAAGATAGTCATCAAAATCCACATTCAGTCACAAGCTTCACCATTTGTTGATCTTCAATTTCCTTTGCTTCACTTTGTGTGCTAGTTTGTAATGTGAATAAAGAAAATGATGGATTTGAAAATGCCACAAAAGACAAAAAATATGTAATATAACTAACTAGTTAAGTATACTTGATAACTTGGAAGTAACCAGGATGCCAAAAAGTGTAGAGAAAGACTCTTGCTATAAAATCAACTATGAAGTCCTAAGGGCTCAAATCTTTGTATCTGACCTAGAAAGAGTTTTATGATTAAAAGTTTCAAAGTGTTTTCATCAGGGCAGAACTGTCTTTATGAAGGACATTTATCAGTTGAGAGATTTCTCACCAAAATCCATGATTTTACCTGTACTCATTTAAAAATGCAAAAATTATTAGTTGGACTACTTTGGGGGCACTTTCATGTTGACAATCAGGGAAATCAAAATACTTGTGATGCATCTTCATTTATAAAAGCATGCATATTGAATTAGCCCAATTGTGAATAAGAAATTACCAGTTCTTGGGGAAGGTGCCCTTGCGATTTCTAAGGAGCAAGGTTTCTTTGTAACAGCTGTGTCCATGAGATCACATAGAAAGTTCTCATTTTCTGGAGGAAATGTGTCCAGAGAACCAGATGGTACAATTTCCATAGTGTAATTCCTCTTCTTTGGATAGGACTCCTGAAACGGAGAAAAAATAAAAAGCTTTGCAAGAAATACACAGCCTTGTTTGATTTTATTTAAAAAATACTAGGAGAGATAATCAGGTTCATCTATTCTTCTCAAAGAGATTGAGAGCTACTAATTTATCTGTTTGAATAAATAATTCACTGTGTAATCCCAGTCATACCAGCGATATTTTAGAAGAGTTCTTACATTTGTTTCTTTGAATTTAATACTAAACTAGTAAAAGCCTTGACCTCCTTTGATATACATGTCTACTTTATATTGTATGTTAATGACTAGCCATTTCCAAGATTCTGCTCCTTTGCCTGGCTCCTAGAGAGTTATATGATTCAATTTTGACCATTTGCTGGGAAGCTTACAAAAATATTTTGCCCCACAGATAAAGCTTGTAAGGAGGCATTTTCAGAGCTGAAGCTATCCTCAGACTGGATACAGTTTTAGTATCTAGGGCTAAGGCAATCAGTTTGTAACAATAAGGCATTAAGCCTAAAATAGAAAAGATGACAAAAGCCAAAGATAAAGAGTCTGTTACTTTGATTATATCATTGAACTGCTTAAATAGATCCAGGACCATCTTTTCAGGCTTCTTAACTGTACACTAATATTCTTACACTTTAAATTGTTTCTATTTGGGTTTTCTTTCATTTGCTATTAAAGTATTATCACCCAAAACACTAGTATTTTTCTTTGTGAATACTATTAATGAGCTTACTAATATTCTTTTTCAGGTTAGAATACAATTTGATCCAATCTCATGTTACTGATTCTTCAATATATTCTAATAATTGGAAATTCATTTAATTAAATAATATCTTAATTTCTTATGCATGAAGCACTAACTGGTGATCAGATGTTTATTGGACATTTTAAATAAATATATATGTTATATATATATTCATATATGTTTATGTGTATATAATACATGTGAGTGTGTGTATATATACATGTGTGCATGTGTATATATGATGCTAAGAACTAGTCATCTTAAAAACCTGATAATACATAATTCTTGTTCTCAGAGAGTTCACAGTCTACTTGAGAAGAAAGACAAATTATATGCATGATGAAATTAGCCATTTTTTGGTAGCTGTTACCTTATAAAGTATACTTCACTGACAAGAAATAAATAAGAACATAAACTCATATTTTCAAAAAAAATCTTCCAAGATATATTCAAGAGTTGATAAAGATTTAGTGTAAGCTGCTATTTTGCTATAATGATATTTACAGTACAGTAGAATCCAAGGTCAGTGTAATTGCTTTCAGAGCAAAGCAGACCCTCACACATCAAAGAGTCAATTATGTTCACTCTACTCTATTGAAAGCAGGAAATTGGGAGTAATTTATTTTTAACAACAAAGGGTGACAAAGTAGAAAGCATCCAGGGGAAAGCAATCAGGATGGTATATGATTTAAAAACCATGTCAGAGTCAAATGATAAAAGGAACTGCAGTGTTCTGTCCAGAGAAGGCTTACAGGGACATAACAGTTTTCCCAACATATTTGAAAGGCTCTCCCTGTAAAGAGCTATCCCACAAAAGGAGAGAAATACAGAAGTCATCACTGTAGATGATTTATTCCAAAGTTCTTAAGTGCAGAAAAAGGACTAGTGTTTTTAAGTCTAGGAGGGAGAATTTCGGTCAATTCCAAAAATATGATGATATGCATTAATAATAATATCTTAAAATAAAATTCACTGATACAAAAACTAGTTAAGAAATAACACCAGAAGACATCAAAATGAACTCATCATGGAAGAAAAGAAAAAATGAAGGAAAGAAGAAAAGGAAGGAAAAAGAAGGGACTAAGATTATAGCAATAGAATTGTAAAACGTCTGTGTAAAAAAGAAATTCTAGCTCTAATTTATCCTAAATTAAATTAGTCAGAGCAACTCATGGATTTGGTAGACATTTTATTGTTTTTATAAAGAATGATGATGGTTTTTAAAAAATCTGAATAACTATTTTATTTTCATGCCTTATGTTTGTATGTATTTTACCTAAAGTTAAGGAGCTTTGTTTAAATCATCTATTCATAAATAACATTTATTTGAAACTTAGTCACTTAAAATAATAATAAGCACTTAACATTTCAGTTTCTTGGATCAGGTATTTGGAAACAGTTTGTGATAGTTTTGCTTTGAGGTCTTTCATGAGCTCAAAATGTTGACTCAGGAACCAGTCATGGTTGTACACAGCTGTAATCCAGACTAGCCTACAACAGTGAGTTCCAGGATTTACAGCCTGAACTACCTGTCTTTCAAGGGGCTAAAGTATCCATTTCCAAAACAGCTCAGTAAGACTGGCAAGTCTGCAGCATTTTTGAGAGGTTTCAGCTTTTCCCAATAAGACACCTCCATAAACTACTCTATGACATAACAGCTGACTATAGAAAACAGACTGTATGTTATAATTTATTTTCAAGCAATTCAAAGAAAATTGAAGAAGCAGATACTACTGACTCAAACTTACCATCCAAGCTACTAAAACGACTAAGACCTGAAGAATCTTGGTCCAAAACCGGTATGAGCAGAAAAATCTTTAAGACATCATCTCGAAAATAACCAGCAAAAACAAAGCTAGACTAGAGGCTCAAATGGCATCTTAGATGTAAAACAAACATCTTAGAAGCAAAATTACACACACTGTTGCTTCTCATTTAATAATATTAAAATACTGTATGCAACCTAAATGTGAACAAATTGCAAGCAGGTAATTATGTACTTTTTAATTACAGAAAAATATCTGGAATCCTCACTGCCTTTCCTTCCTCAAGATTTCTACAAAATCTACAGAGCATATGATCTCAGTTCTCATTATTCCCCCTTGCTATGAATTCCTACTCATATAGAAGTATTCATTTCTTATCTGTGTCTATTCTTGACTCTGTCCCATAACTACTAGAATAAGTAAAATAACCTGGTTAGTTGTACCAAGAGACTTTGTGCAGGAAAATTCATGGAAACCCTGGGTTACATTTAAAAGCACATTGTCAGGGGAGCTGTGGGATGCCTATAGTAAACTTCTGGAAGTCAGACCCAGGGAGACAAAGGATGCATGTTTTCTTTCATATGTGAAAGACAAATCCAATTTATAAATAAATAAGTAAATACATACAGTGTGCACCAACAAAGTCAGTATTAAACAAAGTCAGTACTATATACATTTAGTTAGAAAAAGCACACAATACCAAAATATTGTTCTTTATTGATACTTAGACAACTAATTAAAGTTTAACAACAACCCAGAAAGTTTTAAACATGAACTTCAAAGCAGCATTTATCCTTGGTAGGAAAGTAAGAAGGATGAATTAAAAGGGGAATATAGGGCTTTAAAAATTATCTTGCAGTGTAGTTGTGGAGGTAGGAGGGAAGGGATGATAGGGGAAAAACAAAGGAGGAGGCAACAATGCTTGTTAAAAAATGTACTCATTACCTTGTGCAGGTAACTGTAACCCCTCTGTACGGTATTTTCACAATAAAAAATGAAAATTATCTTGCATATTCTCCTTTGAGAGATATTTCTTAGATATTTCGTTGATGGGCCTCATTGATGACATGTAATATTGGTTACAAAAGCATAGTTTTACTATTTTTATTTTGCATCTTCTTCTCTTAGGGATGTCTCACCTTTATAAGGAAGTCTCACATTATAAGACTTACCTTCCATCAGTGGCTCATTCCTTTGTACAACTATTTAAAGATAATAGAAAATAAATACATTTATAATATAACTTAGAAATCATGATTGAAATGGAAAAATAATTCCATTATTGATATATATATATATATATATATATATATACATAGATATGTAAGCTACATCTCTTTTATCCATTCTTTTCTTTTGTACACATAGACTGATTCCAAATTTGGCTATGTGAATAGTGTTGTAATGACATGTGAATGTAGCACATTTCTTGAACATAATGGTTTCATATTGTTTGGATACATACCCAGTAGTGGGAATGCTGAATCATATGTTAGTTCTATTTTGAAATTTTGAAAAACCTCCATATAATTTTCCACTATGGCTTTATCAACTGACATTCCCACAAACAGCAAAAAAGAATTCTCCTTTCTCCACATTCTCCTACCACTATTACCTTTTTTATATAGTAATTATTCTATATTTGTGAGGATCATTGTGGTTTTGATTTGCATTTCCCATATCATAAGTGATATCTTTTGTCATATACCTGTTGATCATCTGTATATCTTGTTTTAAGAAATCCCTATCCAGGTGTTTTGCCCAGGTTTACTAGCATTTTTTTTGTTTTCTCAGAATGGAATTTGAGTTAATTATATATGTGTGATATTAACTTTTTGTGTAATGTATGATTTATAAATACATTCTCCTATTCTGTTGGTTCTTTCTTCTCTCTGTATATATAACACAAATTGAATATATATGTATATATAAAATCTTTCTCTAGACCAATGTCATACAACTTTTCCTCTATTTTCTTCTAGAAGTTTTACAATCTCAGGTTTTAATTCACTTGAGTTACTTTTTTGTATATAGTGCAAGATGAAGGTTCTCATTTCATCCTTAAGTATGTGGATGTCCAGTTTTCCCAGCATCACATATTGAAAAGGCTGGATTTCCCCTACTGTGTGTTTTTTGCATCTTTGTCTATCCTATGGTAATATTATATATTATAAATATGTAAAGAGATTACATATAATATTTTTAATCCAGTATTTACTTCTAATATGTATCATGAACTAATTTTATGGCATACTACAGGTCTTTGACCTAAGGATGCTTGACTTAAAGTCTTTTAACTTTATGATGTACAGAAGCAATATTTATTCAGTAGGATCTGGACTTTGAATTTTGAGCCTGACCTTTTCCAGATTAACCATAGGTAATGTAGTATGTGATACTGGCAAGCTACAGTGAGTCAAAGTAAGCCATGTGATCATAAGGACAAACCGTCAATACACAATAGCATACAGTAAGTTATGGTAGGTTAAGTGAATTAAATGCAT